AAGTTAGAATTATTAAATCTATAAAGACTTTAAACGAGTACAAAGAGGTCATGTGGTAAGTCAAATTGACTGAGCCCATGTTGAGAGAACTAATATTAATCCTGGCTTACCAGATTTTTTAGCTGAGATGTTTTAGTTTGGCTGAATTCTGCCACTTATTATTAATTTCATGACACCTGAAAAAAATTGTTATGTTTGAAAACATATAGCTGACAGGATATTACAATATTGCAGCTATTGAGATGGGGTTTCAGAAAGTCATAACCCCAGAAGGTTATTAAAGTAATGTGTATATGAACCAAAGGCAGTCTGTTGTGAGCTACTAGTGTATGTGGTGATAGGTAATTTTGATATAAATGTGTATGTGTGTGGTCTTACACACACATATATGGACATTACATAAAGTCACTCATGAGTGATGAATTGCTAAAAAAACACAACTATTAAGCAACATATGAATGGAAACAAAGGATATGATCTGGACATTAAGACTTTGTTATATGTGATTAACTGTGTAAGATATTACGTGAAGGTACAGTGCTCCTGTTATTTTAATTAATACTTGTGAGAGAATATTTTTACTTTAATATTGAGACATGTTTGAGAGAAATGGTATTTTTTGTTAAAATTCATGTAGGATAGTTCCATTGAACTAAACTTAAATAAGTAGATGAAACTAACAGTAGTAAATGAAATTCACAGACAGTAGCTTAGATATTACAACAAGTGTATACTTGGTGTATCAGTATTTTATTTTGTTATGATGCAATATTTTTAACCATGCAGATTGAAGAATATAGTAAAGCACTCAGCCTTCTCAATATGTACTTAACATTTTTTCAGTACAAGCTACAGTTAAAGATGCAGGAAAATGCAGGCTATAAGTGTACTGCTGGTAGCTGAAAGTAACACTTGTGTGGTGAAAACTTTTAAAATCAGATCTAGCTAGTACTAAGTTTATATCTGGAATTAGTCCCAAAAGAGAATTGATGTAAGTGTTAGCAGATTATAATGATCAGAAGTAGATGTTGGCATCAGCTAGCCCAGTCATGATGCATGTATGAACCAGTCTCACAGTCTCTACCCTACTCAATTCCTACTGGACTCAGATTCTATTTACATGACAACCAGATAGTATTGGAAGAAATGTGTCTGAATCAGAGGGCAAGATGTATTGGTCGTGGTCATAGGAATGGGAACAGATGGCAGCACAGCGATAGGTATTGGGCAAAAGGAGACACAATTAAGTCTGGAAGACAGAAGTTCACAGATGTTAAGGATATATTTTCTACAAGTGATATAAGGAAGTCATACACATGACACCTATAGAAATGTCATGTGACCATGGTATAGTTTCAGCACTCTGCCTCAAAAAGGGTTTTAGAATAAGCAATTTTTGTAAATAAGCAGTTACAACCCACACCTGGCTGGCCTTGTGACCAATCAGAATTCCTCTAACCTTAAATTTTCAATCCTAACTTTTACTAATTGAGATAAAAATGTCTGGCTGTCTTGTTTTGAAACAACAGTCATGTTAATAGTTCATTCTGTGTGTATGCTAGCAACTCATAATGATTGCACTAGAGAACCAGTATCACAAAAGCTTGTGGCCCAAGGATAGAGACATCAAGTTAACGGGGTAGGTCTAGCCTTCAGATGCTCCAGTATCAATGATGGTGCCTAGCATACAAACCATAGAGTCAGTGCTACTGAGTGAGTATACACTGGGTGCTGTTTTTTTATGTTTTTAATACAAGTCATCTCTTTCTAAAACAACAAGTAAAAAAAGTAGAAAACGACTACTCTTCCTCATCAGAGCATTGGTAATAGGTGTCTCACAATGTGTTTGTATGCAAAATGTATGTAGTAAAATGGTTAATTGTTTTTTGTTGTATTGTAATGTTTTTCCATGATTTGTTTAATCCTATCATAACGGGCTTGTGTATTTTACATGACCTTGTAACCACAGTGGTATATATATATATACGCTACGACTATGAAAGTACTTAACTCTCTCGCTATGGGCTCTAACAAATTGACTGAGTTTGTGACCCCAAATTGATCTTTATAATTTCCATACTATAGCTTCTAATATGTTTTGTGTATCTTCCCAAAATTTCACTAATCATTAAGAGTCATTTGTAGACAAAAAAATATGAATTTGTAATGAAGTATTTTCACTAAAAATTTCTCCATGAACATATGGATTCAAAGTGTTGACTGCTCAGAGTGCAAAGTGATTTTCATGTTAAGATTAAAAATACTTTTCATCATCTGAAAAATCTCAAATTTCATTTGCATAATCTTTAAAACTTCCTAAACAAATTTCTTACATCTTTTCAGTAAAAATATATATTTGATCTGTTATTTTCTCTACCATAACTCTATACAAGATTGGTCAATTTGACCTACCTTGTAACTACCAAAAAAAAAATATTTAAAAAAATCTAAATTACCCTTTTTTCTTTCTAGAATGACTTCATATTGTAACATGAAACTACATTTTATTTATCCTAAATAGCTTTAAGCTTGGTAATAGTATACATTTGTTTATATTTAAATTTATTGCCCTTTGAACCATGACTAACTGATATCCCCACTATAAAAATTGTAAATTACTTAGTGTACTTGCAGCTCATGTTACCCTATTGAATAACATAATGCACAAGTTACTTGTGAGTTGTAAAAAATATTATAATTCTTTATTTTACCTAATCAAACCCTATTTAACCTAAAAAGTGTCTAAGTATTACATTTGAGTTACTTTTATAATAATAAATAAAGAATATACATGAAAAACAAGAAATAAAGTACTTCCCTGGATCTTCTTTTTTTTTCTTTTGCTCTCAAATGTTAATGACACTTAACCCTACTTTTTATACTAATGGTACTACTACACTAAATTTATATTAAATTAAATGCTGCACTGAAGAACACAGAATAATAACATGTAAAAAGCAGACAATATTCTATTACTATCAAAATTTTTTTTGGCTTTCTAACTATGCAATAAGAGCCGTTAAAAATTCAGCTAAGCTCCTTGATGGGAATGAAGTTTGAACTGAAAGTGGAATAAACAATTTTCTGTACAGAATACAAAGTAATATAATGTGATGTTTGATAGATTAAACTTTGCATTCTATTAGTTATAAGTAATATAGCAGTAAATGTCAGAGAGAACTATTAGCAATTTGTGAAAGGGAGGATGTGGCAAGAGGAATGTGGTTTTCTAGTTAAGATTGAAGGTTACAAAAATTATGCTTTGCCTGAGTAATAACTATATTATAATGAGTAATGTATGTTAAATTCTGTACTTCTCGGAGGGTGGTAATTAGATTATAGAAGAGGGAAGACCTAAAGAGTCTGTTACAATTTTCATACTAGGGGAGATTGAAGTTTTATCTTAATATTTCCTGATAAAATTAGGAATTTAAAAAAAGTTATATAATATTAAAATTTCAATTATTAGTTATGTTTTGTTATCTAGTGTATTCATATACATTGATAATAAAATAGTTTAATTAAAATTTAAGTGCAACTCTGTAAAAGGTTGTGATGTGCACTTTGACCTACCAGATGCAAAAGGGTTAAAGGTTCTACGTAATTTGATATATATTTTGGTTCTGTGAGGGTTCATTTGGTATTCATACTTTTGCTACTTTTGTATACTTTGTTTCATTATTAAGAACAAGTTTTCTTTGTATTTTGTACAATTTATTGTGCTTATTTTATGATTATATTTGTTAAAGGAGATTCTTACTTCATCCCACTGAAATCATTTTTTATAACTATCGAGTTAATTCATTGTTAAACGACATTTCTATACTATGATTGAACATATTATAGATCTGCATATTGTGATAATCTCTGTTCATGAGTATTTGTTAAAGGGTTATGTTGTCTGAAATGTATGTAAGTGTTCACACGGGCAAGAGGAGGTTACAGTACTCCTTGACCAGTGTATGTGTATAGATTTATTGACTTTTAAGTTTAAAATTAATTGTCAGATTTAGGATAAGCCTGAGTAGTTATTCTATGTTGAATTTCTCACAAAACTGCCAGAGTACCTTTTGAGCCAGCTGTCTTTAATTTTGAAGTGATTGACTAAGCAGAAAACAGCTGATTACTAACTGCCAACTCATAGGCCACTCTAATAAAATAATAGGATTTTACCATTACTTTTATAATACATCCATGGCCCCAAAGTATGGAGCATTATTTGTTTTGATGGAGTGGGGGTGCAAGTCAATAAACCTCAGATCCACAGTCCGGCGGCACGCTAACCACTCGGACATGCTCACCCCAGCCTGAAGAAGAGGGGTAAGAAAAGTGGGGGAATACCAAAATATTCTTATTTTTTATTTTATAATAGAATATTCTGGGTGTGTACACTTTTCACATAACACATGGTTAAGAAAGTCCTTAAGCTGCTGTCATTCTAGCTACCTTTGTTCTTTGTCACTATCTAAAGATAACACCTGGTCTACACATAAGTTGTAAAGCTGCACCTCATGCATGAAAGTAGACAATAGTTTTTTTCCATTGATTGGTCAAATGATATTTCAAGGTTACAATCTCCCTTACTGGGATTTGCCAAGTGTGACATCAGTGATGCTCACATCTCGAGAAGAACAGTATTATAGAATTTCATATATAACACTATAATCTCTTAGCTCTATTTCTCTTTCAAACTCAACCTCTCAGTTTTGAAAGTCTAAGTTTTTTCTTTAATTGTAATAGTAAAATATTCACCAAAAGTTTAACCTGAAATATTATTTAGTTCTTAATAAACCTCTTAATTAGTTGTTATTGAAGTTTAGAGAGTTAAGCATCTAGTAAAAACATTCTTCTTTGTCTTGTGTACTTAACTAACTTTGATTGTTTTTGAGTTTAGATAAAAATTTATTTTCACTGTGTGTTATACATTGTGTCCAGTTTTGCCTAAGAATATTGTAAAAGATGAACAGAATATAAAATCATTAGACTTCAAATACACTTACCTTGTGATAAAGGTGACTATTTTCCCAGTCCAATACTTTTTCTATTGAATGTCTTGTCTGTTAAAAACAAAAGTTGCATGATGTCAATGTGAAATATAATACTTATAAAACAAACAACTCCTTAATGTATACTAATAAATGTAGATATGAGAAAAAAAAAGCTGGGAAAATGGATTGAGTAATTTTATTAAACCACCAAAGGAGAGAAACATTTCTGAATGCTATTTATAAAAAAAAAAAATCACATTTGCTGCAAGTGTTTTTGTTATATTCCTACATGATTTTATAAAACATCACTGAGTATATTTGTTCAGTACCAGCAGGAACTAAGCCACTCAGGTAGGGTTTCTGAGATTTCTTGTTTAATAGCAAAACTAATTCACTCAACTAGCTTTTTATGAGACTTCTTGCTTTGCACCAGAACTATTTTACTCATCTAGTTTTTCTGAGACTTCTTGTTTAGTGCTAAAACCAAGCAACTCATCTAGTTCTTCTGAATCTCCTTGTTTAGTGTCAGAACTAATTCATTGAGCTAGATCTTCTGAGACTTTGGCACCAGGAACTAATTTCTAATCTAGTTTTTTCTGAGACTCCTTGTTTAGTGCTAGAACTAATTTACTCACCTAGATTTCTCAGTCCCTTCTAATGTCAGAACCAACTTACTCAGCTTTTCTAAGACATCTTGCTGAGCACAAGAATTATATTACTCATCTAGTTTTTTCTGAGACTCTTTTTAGTGCCAAAACAATTCTGATGATGCATTTTGAGGCAATTGTATTGATATTCCAAATGCTTTTAGGAGAGAAAATTGAATATCCTATGTATGTCATATATACATGTAAGTTGTAACAAGGATATGTACATTAATGAGTGTATAATAGAAGCTTCATAAAGTCCTAAATAAAGAATTGTCATGTGATGAGTTGAATGAAACTCGGCAACAAATTGTGACATCAATTGTTATATAAACAATCGCTCTCATTGCAGAGAGAAAAACTATAGAAAGTTTACCTTAAGTACACTAACTGCAGCAATAGAATAATCAACAAAAATGAGGGATACATGCAAAAGAGCAGCTGATTACCAGCTTTTGACAAACTCTAATTAGTGTTTTGTTTAGGTTCAGTTAATCAGGTTATTCGAACCATGTAAATCAAGGAACTACTTGTAGACTGGGCCTGGAGAGTTATTTGAGGTATCGTAATAATACACAGAATAACATATAAAAACTTATGTTTCTGGGTTGAACAGGAGCTCTCCCTGACATTTCCTGAGGCCTAAAACCCAGCACCAGATCTCTACCGTACTCCTCTGACAGATAATCCTGCACCAGTCCTCTCTGGCATTCCAGTTAGTGAAGATGGCTGTTGTTAGTGTTCACATGCAAACTCTTTGTAAGTTTCAATTGACATCTCCTCTAGTCTAATAAATGTATAATATATGATGTTAAATAAGCTCTCTAACTACAACTGGATTCTCACTGAAATGTAATTATGTTAGTATTTCACATAATAATTTAGTGGATAATTTGTTCAACATTGTCTCGGAATTAATGAATTCAATAGAAGGTTTACTTAATGCACAATTACAAGAGCAAAATGAAGACTCTGATATAGAACTGTTTCAAGGTGATTTTTGTACTTTCGATGTTACTGAATATGTCAATATGTTAGACATAGATGTGGAATGAAATATTATATGTTGTTCGTATCATCAGTCTTTAAGTCAATTCTTTGTTTCACATGTAAATTCCTCAAGTTGGCGACCTCTGTTCTCACTCAGCTACACAAACGACAGCATTCCTGACTTGTTAAAAGCCAAACCCAAATGACTGGCCTTCATAGGCTCACCTGTTATACTACTCATCTAGTTTTTCTGAGACTACATGTTTCATGAAAGAACTAATTCACTCCATTAGTTTTTCTGAGACATCTTATTTAAAGCCAGAATAATTTTACTCGTACAGTATTTTTAGATTTCTGAATCCTTTCTAGTGTTAGAACTAATTTACTCAGCTAATTTTTCTGAGACTTTTTGTTCAATAACAGTGCCCATCAGGCTTTAAAATTATTTTAGAATTTTGTGATAAAATAGAATGATTTTTGGTATCTGAATCACAATTACAAAAATACACATAAACATGCTAGTTCTTTGTAGAGTATAAATAATACAGTGAAACATGCAAGTCCTTAACATATAAATAATACACTGGAACACGTAGATCTTTAGTAGAATATAAATAATACATTGAAACAGGAAAATATCATACAGGATATAAATAATACACTGAAATAAGCAAGTCCATTACAGAATTTAAATAATTCACTAAAATAGGTAAGCCCATTATAGAATACAAATAATTCACTAAAATAGGTAAGCCCATTATAGAATACAAATAATTCACTAAAATAGGTAAGCCCATTATAGAATACAAATAATTCACTAAAATAGGTAAGCCCATTATAGAATACAAATAATTCACTAAAAATAGGTAAGCCCATTATAGAATACAAATAATTCACTAAAATAGGTAAGCCCATTATAGAATACAAATAATTCACTCCCTCATCCTACTCCCATATGGATGTTGGTTCCCAGTGGCTGGGTTTTGGATTTAGAGCTGAACCAATCAAGTCCTCACACATGTATTACAGGTGTCTCTGTTTCCTCACTCACTTATACTCTTCTTCCTCCATCTGAGTTGTAGGTCATGATAAAGGTATTTGCAGATTAATATGGTTCTTCCTCTTACGGTACCCCTTGATGATTTTATTATAACAAGGATGTTATTGCACTAGGGGTGATTCCTGTCAGTTTTGTGTTGAGTGAGATGATTTACATTAAACAGACATCTTTACGATATCATAAGTTGGGTTCCCAGATCGTTCAAACAATCAAACTATCATGTGTCCCATTATTCATAGATTGGGGGGGGGGGTATAAAATCCCCTCCAATCTGAGGTGAAGATGGTATGATCCTCTTTCCTACCCTCACCAGCTGGCTGGGTTTTGGATTGTAGTTGACTTGCCACTGGCATGATCCTCTTTCCAACCCCCACATGCATGTCGGTTCCTAGTGGCCTGGGTTTTGGATTGTAGTTGACTTGCCGGCCATATGATCCTCTTTCCTACTCCCACTTGGATGTCTGTTCCCATTGGCCAGGTTTCGTATTGTAGTTGACTTACCAATTGTATGATTCACATCCTACCCCTGTGTAGATGTTGGTTCCCAGCAGCCTGGGTTTTGGATTCAGTTGATTTGCCACATACAGTTTGTCGTGCCCTAGCCACTCTACACATGGAGGCACATCCTTTTACTCACACCCACATTGATGTACTCTATGGAATTGAGATTCCTATTTTGTGTGGTTTGGATCCCTATCCAACCAGTGCTCTCTCCCTTTTGGATGTGCTTCTCCCAATTTCTGCCCATATCTGCAACACTTTTCTCAACACTGGGTGAAGAGTATACCTGGTATGGTCTCCCACGTATGATTCTCTACTGTGAGTATCTACTCTTTTTGGGTGTCCTTCAGTCACTTTTGAAGGATGCTTCTTTCTTTCCCTCGCACTGGTCTCTCCACCTATTGAATGTGGGATTCTAACTATTTATGTGAGCAGAGGTAATGTATCAAAAATTATAATTTTTCTGAAATATATTTCTGATAGGTACTTACCTCCTCTCCCACCTTTTCTCCCCACTAAAAGCTGGTGCTTCCATTTTCTGCCAAAATTCAAAGTGATAGTTCTGTAGAATTGAATAGAGGGAGTCACAAGTATCAGGAGAGTGTGTCACACTGTTATCGGTGGAGGGTTGTTGCATGATGATTTGCATACGAGAAGGATTTGAATCAGTTAGTTGTAAGGTACATGGAGACTGAAAGCTTGGGGCGGGCGAAAATTTTTTTTTATGTATAGACGGGCAGCACTGAATGAAAACAGCTATTTATGTAAGCGGAGTTATGTACCTAACGGAAATATAATTTCAGTATAGGAAAATTATAACTTTAAGGTGAAGAAAACTATTTTTAATCTTAACACGAAAATCACTTTGCACTTGGAACAGTCAACACTAACACCATATATTCACAGATAATTTTTTTGTGAAAATACTTAATTAAAAAATCAGATTTTTATGTACAAAAGACTTTTAATGTTTACTGAGAGCTTGCTAGATTTTGTGAAGATACACAAAACATCTTAAATGTTATAGTACAAAAATTTTGATGATCATTTTGGGGTCACAGGGTCGGTGTAATCCACCAAGTCTGTAGCACGAGGGTTAATAACATTCTGTAAAGTACTTTCACATCTTACTCTATAATTTATATTCTGCAAAATACTTGCATGTTTTACTGTATTATTTAAATTCTGTGTAGGAATTGCAGACTTATCAAAATCACTCAATATCTGAATCTCAATTACATAGATAACAGTAATGTGGGTGAGAGTAAAAAGGATGTGTTACAAGGTGTAGAGTGTCTAGGGCATGATGGACTGTGCACACCAAGTCAACTGCATCCAAAACCCAGCCACTGGGAACCAACATCCATGTGGAGGTAGGATTAGGATTATACCAGTGGCAAGTCTCCTGCAATCCAAAAACCCAGCCATCTGGTGGGGGTAAAAAGAGGATTATTCCATCTTCACCTGAAGTTCAGCAGAAGAGAAGAAAATATCATGCCCACTGATCTATGAACGGGACACATGATAGCAAGGTGATAAAATGTTTGACTTATCCAGGAACCTGACATCTGGTTGATCAGAATAATAAAGATGTCACCATATTGTGAAATATCCCACTCAAAACCAGCCATATAGGAACCACCCCTAGCACAGTATCATCCTTGGTATATCGCAATCTTCAAGGAGTAGCACAAGAGGAAGAACTATAGCAACCTGAATGTTCATCCACCATGACTCACAACATGTTAGCAACGAACATGAGGCCAAATGAGTGAGGGAATAGTTACCAGTAATACATGTGTGAGGACTTATGTTGATTGGTCCTGCTCTGAATCCAAAACCCAGCCACTATGTGGGGGTAGGATGAGGGA